AGAACTGGCGACTTGGTAGTACAACTTTAGTACGCGGAGTATCTGGGGAGCTGGAAGATGAGAACTGGCGACTTGGTAGTACAACTGTAGTAGGCGGGGTATCTGGGGAGCTGGAAGATGAGAACTGGCGACTTGGTAGTACAACTTTAGTTCGCGGAGTATCTGGGGACGGCCAGATGAGAACTGAGAACTCTGTAGTACAACCTTAGCACACTCAGTATAAGAGGAGCTGGAAGACGAGAAGTGGCGACTTTGTAATACAACTCTAGGACGCGGTGCGCAAATGCTCACGACGATGAGCTCAAATGCTCACAACGATGAGCTGGGCTGTCACCGCTTGGCCGGCGGTGGGGGGGTTGGGAGGCCTGCGCGCTACTTCGTTCACTATATCTACAGTGAAGACCTTCACCAGCAGCAGACATGGACACACACACACAGACAGGGACTCATACACACACACATCACACACAGAGACCCACGCACTGCCTCAACTTACTCGGCCACACACACACATACAGAGACTCATATACACACGGACATAGATACACACACAGCGACCCACGCACTACCTCAACTCACTCGACTTAAACACTTCACACTGAACACTTAACAGATAACTCACACTCTGACTTCCTACGTGATGAAAAATGCTTTCGGGCCACTCGTCGTCTAGCGATTTTTTTGGCTTTTTTTGAGCCTGCCACGCTTTTGTGACTATGTTTTGTCTTTTGGAGCCATGTTTCAACGCTTGCCATGGAACTCAAAACAAACAGTTTCCCAACAACAACAACAACAACAACAACAACAACAACAACAACAGCTCTCTCTCTCTCTTTCTTTCTCTTACGCTGAGGAGTCCTCCCGCCATCTTCGATCGATGTCATCGATCGGATCAAGGGATCTTCTTTTGGAAACCTTCAATCGGAAACCTTCTATCGGAAGTCGCTTCCCGGACTGACATGTAGTCAACAAAAATCCATGGAAAGCAACCAGAGAAACTAGGCGCACCTTTGTCGGCGCGCTATCCATTGGTAGCGGAGCTCAGGGCTGCCAACAGCAAAGGCAGCGGCTACAGGCCTCTAGCGGCACTGTCATCCAGGACCGTCTGCAGCACCAAGCTCAGCGCACCGGTGCAGGTGGGAACTGCCTCTTCATCAGCCTCAGCAGCAGCACAAGGCGGCGGCTCCTCATGGAATAGGGCCTGAGTGAGGTCCTGAGTCGGCACTGGATGCAGAGCCTGAGTGTGATCATCCTGAGTCGGGTCAGAATCACTGTCCAACTGCCCAGACATCTGGTCCTTAGTATTTGATGTCGAGGCATCTATAGGCTGGAAGCAGCCAAAAGAGCACTGTGCGTACCATGTCGGGAGGTGTGAACTGAGGAACTTCGTTGTCTTGGCAAACAAACCAGCCATCTGAGCATTTCAGCACAGCTCGGAAGTGGCCTGCAAGGCTCGATCCTGTGTGACAAACAACGGCCTGGACCCGGTACAGGGACCACTGAAGGTCCAGGCCATCATCATAAAAGTGTGGCGGCCAGCTGGTTGACTTCAATTGGCTGAAAATGCCTAAGTAGCGTGTCGGGGTCATCAGCCGGTCGGCAAACACACATTTGATGCTCTGATGCGGGCGAATGCGGCCCTCATTCCGTGACCATACGTCCACATGTGACAAAGGTCAGTGATGGTGGGAGAGGGAAGGTCCAGTTCATACATACAGCCCATCAAGTGCCACAGGCTGATATTTTCCTCCAAGCTCTTCACAGGCAACGCTCTTGGCCAAGGAGACCCGGCGTTCCCAGGACATGTCAACTTTGGCGCTATTGTTCCATTCAAGGAATTCGGCCGTAATTTCGGCACAGTCCCTAGGTTCGGTGCCCCTTGATTTCAACAAGTCCCCTCGGCTGATGCAGCAGAGCTTCACACACTGCTGCCGCTTCCCCAAAATCCCCTTGGTCACAATCTCTTTGATGGAGAGGTGTCCATAGAAAACAGTTGATGCTGGAGTTCAAAAAACACCAGTTCCCTTCGTTGGTCAAGGGTGTCCCCAAGAAGCAAGATCATGAGCAGATCGTTCCTCAGCGGCACTTGTAGGTTTCATGGGAAGGTCTCTCCCTTGGAGTTCTGACTGGCCATCGAATTGAAGCGGATGACATTCTCCACTTGAGCCATGGCACTCTGTAGATTCTGGAGCTTGCTCTCCAACTCCTGTCGACTCAAAGGTGGTGTGTTCTGCGACGGGACCAATCGCTCTTGTTGGCGATCCCACATCAAGTAGGGAAGAGCGCCGTCCGGCAGGAGCAGGTAGGAATCCTGGCTTGCTTTCACAAAGGTCTCGTCCGAGAGCTTGGTGCAGAAACTGCTAAATCTGCTCATCATCTGCTCCATGACTGTCTGCATCAGACAGGCTCGAAGAGGCTTCTGGGGAGCACTTGACTCTCCAGTTCTGTGCGGCCTGGAGAAGGTGAGGTACAATGCCCTGTGGACCCTTGTTGAAAAACAACATGAAGCTGTCTTGCGAGTGGATCGACTGGATCGAGTCCTCGTGCCTGATGATGATGCGGGCCATGAGATTGCACAATCGGTTCAAGTTCTGGTCCTTGGGAGGGTCCTGCGACGATCCTTCCATCTTCATTCCTCCCCTGTCCTTCTGTCTCTTGGGGCGATGTGCTGACTCTA